TGCAATGGACCGGGATGCGATAGGCTAAAACTGAAATTGCCGACTTCGAAACGAGTTTTGTTTAGTTGCATAACGTGCAGACGGTTGCAATGGGTTTCTATAATTTGAAATTCTCAAAAGTTATGATTTTTGCATTTTGGGTTTTGCACATTAGTATTTTTGATGGCTCGTAGTGCAGATCGGTTCAGTTAATAATGTATTTGAAAGACGATTATAATGACAGACGAAATTTCATTGTTTCGAATGATGGTCTGAAACATGAGCAGGTTTTTATGGCAAATTATGAACTGAATTACTATAGAAAATTCCCGCCTACCCACTCACATCTATAGAAGATAACAGATCTAGTAAAAGCCAATTAATTGCTTTTACAGACGATAAAACGTTTCCCCATTAGCGGTTGAAATATTCGCTTCTAGTCTCTGCATATCCTCTAGTAAATTATCAATAGTAGGTGCAGAAATTTTACCAATTTGACTAACTGTAGCAATAGATAGTATTAAAACAAACCAACGCATTCAACGGTAAGTAGATACGCGGCAAATGCATTCATTCTAATTCAGTTGAAAAAAACGAGCGTCCATAGAGCCTAGATTTTAATTAAAATAAAATGAAGAGAGACATTTAGACTTTTAAAGAATAAAAACTGAAAATTCGAGACAAAGTGTCAACAGAAATAACTAACAAGGACTGTGGAGTTGAAAAAAAATAAGAAAAGATGAGGGGCATGGATTGTAAAAAAAATTGGGAAAATTTAAATCTGAAACCGCGTTATTTTACAAACTTAGATCAGCTTTTAAAATGCTGCCTTCTGCAACGTAGCGTACGAAATGTAAATATTTGAATGTAGAAAATGTTTTACGTAATCTCACCAAACCGTTTATAAAAATTTGGAAATATTTTAACAAACAAAAACAGCAGATACAAAGAACTAAATCTCTCGTCCCCTCCTCGGGTTAGAAATTTAACTACTTCCATCATAAAACGGACAGATTATTGTTACCAATATGTTCTTTCTTTTCGCTTTAAATTGAAAAGTTCTTAATCTATATTCAATAATTTAGCAACTTATCAACATATCTTAATTATGGGCATACAGTAGCCGTAGAAATGCGATTTTTAAATTTATTGATATGTTTTAATATTAACACCAGAAGATATTTTGTAAGATTGGCCAAATTTTCAACAACCATTCTGGATTTGCAGACCCATTGAAAGAAAGRGCTGTTTCCAATTCGGCCAAAACGAAGATTGAACTTTCAAGACCATTTCCGAAATTATTTAGATACATATACTTTTTGGTCATCCTAAATCGATTAATAGATCATCTCAATTCTGGGGCTAYCTRTATCTTTAGATGTATGTAGTAGGGATGGTCGGTATTTATTAACGTAACCGCTTAAATAACACTGTTAATGTAGATTATTTAGTGTTATTGTTGACTTAATAACACGCGTAAATAAATGCTATGCCATCACAAAAAATGTGGTGTCCCATCCTCTGATGGAAGGAAGTTCACTTAAAAGATGGACAAGGAGAAGATTATTAAATTTCTCAAGATTTTGAAAAAAACACAGATATATTAGTACTTCTGTTCCATACGAGAAATTATTTTCCAAAGCGAGTGCTATCATAAACGAACGAAGAACTACACTTAGTAAAAAACATACGCAAACAAAAATATTCTTAAGTGTCAATTCATTTTAAAATGAGAATTTGCTTTTTAAAGGTTTGCGCATGCAAAGCGAATATTTTATTCAAACCCTTCGATTTTATTATTAGTTTTTTTTCCTTTAAGTAGTTACTTATGACCCATAATTTGTTTTTATTTTTAGAATACATTTATAGTTTATCAATGCTAAGAATTATTTTCTTAATTTACTAAATTATTATTTATCATCACTATTTCTACCATCATCATCATCATCATTGCGAATTTTTACTGAAAAGTTTTAAAAGTACTTCACATGTTACTTTTGGAACCGCATGTTGGAACCTAATACCAAAGTGAAAGGACAACTTTGTAACCTGTTACAAAAAAATAACCGTTTAGCACACTTCTAGTATGTAGTGGCATTGAACCATAATAAATACATGGAATGAAGACTAAGAATTCTCAAATTAATTCCCGGAATATCTCTTAAAAACATATGTAAGTATATTTGTTTGCTTTCAAAATACGATAACAATATGTATACAAGTGACTGACATCAAATGTATTCAAAATAAGGAACTGCCTCAACGCAACCAGATTTGAACTAGTAAAGACAAAAGTAAAAATGATCAACGATCAATGAAAACTTAAATTAATATTTCTCGTAGTAACAATTTGCCAGAAGCAAGATTGAACTGATTCAATTGATTACAAGGGTTCCAATTGATTATTTCTTAATAATAACATATTTATTGTTAATTTTGAGAATAGACGTTTCGCAGGTAGATAGATGATTGGTAAGAGAGTCTAAAGCATTACAGAGTTGATATTTTTTCACAATAATTCAAGGTGTTTATTTGTATAATTAGACAGTGAACAAAAAATGAATGCAAAGGATAAATAGGACGAATGTTGGAAATGGGGTTGAAAGTTTCCCAGCCATAGAGTTTGTAAAAAACGGTATTTCGCATTTTCTAATACATTTCTGCTTAACTTTTTCCATTTCTTCTACTCAACTTCTTTCTTTTTTAACCTTTCTCCCTCCAAACATTTGCTTTCTCCACTGGAAGAACCAGCCACTAGGCGCTTTATTTTCACATTTTTCAAGAGAATTAAGTCGCATTCGTGGAAAAATGGATATTCGCTTCATTCAGTACCTAATGAGCACACCCAAACTGTTCTGTGTGTTAGTGACAAATTTGGACGATGGAAAATATACGTGAATCATTTTTCGATAAATAGTTTCACTTTTTCTTCCTGTCTTGTTCTAGTATTTCAAGTCAATTTAGCACTCTTTTTTTGAGAAATCGATTGCATTCCCTTTAAGAAAATTAGAAGCACATAATTTTAACTCAACTCAAACAAACCGAAAACTCTCCCCTACATCAACTGATCCGATATTCGAATTCAAACAACTCGAAACTTTCAAGCTGATTCAACCGAATTTCATCTAAACAAGCACATTATAGTTCGGCACTGTTTTGTTATTCCAAACCAACTAGCGCAAATGATTTATAGACAGCAACTTCAGTTTTGGGGAGGAAAACTTATTTGTTCAACGAGGCGACTCGCACCCGTTCTCCCGTTTCGCAGGGAAATGGAAAACTTGGGACATTGCAAAAAAGGTGACGCGAAGAGTTCGCAAATTTTTGCGAAGGTAGTCAGATAAAGGACTTGGATTACTGTAAAAAAAAGTCTTACATTATAATTCGAGAGAGGTTTAACTGAGTACTTTACTTATACATTTAATTGTGTTATATTAACAAGGGCTTAATGATCAGATTTTTTGGTTTTGCTTTATTTCCATCCTACCCTATACAGTTGATTTACAGATTTTTTTTCAAGAACTCAGATTTATCTCTTATTACTTAATCACGCAAAACTCGATCATCATTGGATGATGTTGAGAAATGTGATATATTCTTCATTTCCTCTACTTGCTATTGCATTATTTCTAAATATTGCATGGTTATTCTCTATGGCATGTTACTGGCAGTCGTGCAACGCTTTCTTGAATTCAGTTTCTATTTAGGTACGTAATTTTTTGAAAATTTAATTCGGAAACCAAATAATTACTCGAGGGCACAGGCCTTTGCCAATTTACGTACAACCTTGTGGCGCTCGTGAAATATTTCAGCAAACAACGGTTAATAATATTTACAGACCAACAGATTTACACGCGCGACGAACATTAAAGCACTAAAACTTACACTTGCAATGTTGGGAAAATGTACAACGTGTGGAAACTACAAATGAGAAAGATCTCGTTCGATTTCCGCTGGAAAGTTGGCATATGTTGAAAATGAAAAATATTTGTTATATAACCGACTTCCTTCATCTGAGTTGTCGCTTCGAAATCAGAAATAATTGAACACCCCGGTTAAATTTTTATAAAAATCAATATGTATTAAGCATGATATTCAATGTAGTATTAATAATAAGTGTAATAATACTGCAAAGAAGCTATTGCACCACCAAATATACATTGGTAAGACATTTCGTCGAAAATTTGAAAAAAATCATTTCCTTGCAGTTTCAATTTAAAAATCTTCGAAAGCCCAAATTACAATTTAAAAAAAAAACAAAGTTTTAGTCATTGTAGGTTGCAAAACTAAAAATTCTTTGTACCAGATTGTATGATAAATATGATATTTACATAAAATGTGACAATGATTCCCAATCCCGCACTAATATTTGGACCAAATTGAAAAAAAACACATCAGGTTATCAGTTACAGTAAATTATTTGTGCAACTAAAACCCTAGCACACCTACACGAAATGATGCCTAACAATATAAAATACTTGGTACCAAACAGTAATTTTAATACTCATTAAATAAAGGACAATCCATAGAAAATACAAGCAGAAGAACCCACAACACGCCAAACTCGAATAACGATTACACGACTAGATAACCCTAAATATGAAAATATCAGATCCAGCTGTTGTGATGCGTGCGGTTAGATAAGGAAGTCCCGGTAAATAAATTAACTATTAAAAGCCACTATCTCTGTTGAATATTACCCTATTGTATCTTCGCTTTTCCGAGCAGCGATAATGAATGTCGTCTTATAAAAGATAGCAGCCATCACTTATTAAAATTAACTTTTAAATTATGCGAGAACAAATTGTTATTAATTGCATGATGTAAACATGAATCGTTAATTCTGAAGAGGATTTAATATCTTTCACATCCCAGGTGTATGAAAGTGACTATGCATTTAATTACATTGGTAGTCAGTCGACTAAATTGACGCGTATGCAAATCAAATCAGCATTAATTAAGGAACGAATTGTTCTTCATGAAAGAATGTATACCGAGAGCCAACAATCGTAAACACTTACCGGATGTATTCCAAAGACAAGCTAATCATTTCTTCTGGGTTGAAAATAGTCCGTTCAATGTCTTCGCCGCGTTCCTCTGGAGAAACTTTGGCGGCAATTTCAGGATGGTTTTTGTATAAGGTTTTTCGCCTCAACATTTCCTTGAAAAAAAGTTGTGGCACCAACTTATAAACGATATCTTGGCGAGTCTTGTCCAATCTGTAAATACCGATACATTACGTAGAAATCACAAATGCGTAATTTAAATACAATAAAAATTAATACCGTTTTTCAACTAAAACTGAAGTACCCTTCAAGCTGATTGGTTCCATGATTATTTAGGTATAGTAACACTGAAAACTGGATATACGCATAAAATGGATTTTGGCAAAATGTAAATGATCTAGCAGATATTTTGCATGCGCTTTTGAAAATCACAGTAAAACAGTCTTTCCATATACTAAGCTAACAAATTATACGAAAATCCTTCAAATCTCCCATCTCTCGGCAAACAAAAATATATGAATTAATCCTTCTCTAAGGCTTGTTGATCAACAAAATTATACATATCTAATACAATGAAACTTTGTTTGAAACTCATTATAACTCAAGAAATTTAATGAGTGTCTAAATATTTTGCCTAAAATATCGTCCTCATCAGAGTTTGCTTTGCTTTCTCCCTAAATTATACAAATTCATTCTAGCTTGATATTTAGAAGTATCACTCGTGTAAAAGGAAATTTAATCCCGGGACCCTTAAAGGTATCCTGGGAAGTTTGGAATATTTCTCTGTCTTGGCGGAACGTGAATAACTGTGTTTTGCTTTTGAAAGGTAACTCGAACTCTAAAGGAAAATCCCGAATTTTTATTTTGGGAAACAACCAATTAGTTGGCTGAGCATGATGGATCCGTTTTGAATTAAAATATGTAAATATCACTTTTGGAAATGTCCAATTTGAAACATTTTTATCAAACACAGCGGACAATTGAATAAATTTTCATTGAGTGCTTGATCTTGATTGTGATAAAAACAACTGTTGATAGGCTTTCAAAAGAATCGATCAAACTTGATCTATCTTACATTTACATCTTGTAGCATGCGTTAAAGGTTTCATAAAATTGCTAATTAAATTAAAGCTTTTGCAATACAACAAGCAATGTGTCAGATAATTAACTAAAATAGCGTTGAATGTTCAATAGCATAGTAAATAGTATTTAGGGGAATCATCGTTGAAACGTTCAAAATATCCACCTACCACGACGCGCCAAAATAATATCGATGACGTAGTGGGGCGCATGCGTTCACAGCAAAAGCTCCCACGGAATGCGGCCGCATCAAAAGCTCTCCACCGTAAGCTGTTCCACGTGGGGGATTTGGATTTCGCTTTAACTCTGACGCGGCTGTTAAGAAATTGTATATTTCGCTCAGCGTATAGCGGGATTACATGAAGCGGCATTCTCGCTGACGTTTCCAAATTAACTGCTTAAGTAGGAAGGTAAAATATTGATATTCATGCGCCATACCGTTTGCAACATTCCACCTTAGTGTTATTATTTGAGAAGTCACAAAAGATGTTAGTGTTTGGTGACAAACGTAGGTATTCTATTTGATCAAAAAATCTGGACTGTTAGATCACTCTGCAGGTCAGAATTACATACTCATCTAACAAATCTGTCCACTTTCTATTACCTTGTCATTAACTGTTGTTCATTTAAAAATAGAGGCATTAATAAACCGTAACAGTTACGACCAACATCATCTATGGAGACATACAGATATTTTATATTCGGGGTTTTTAAGGAGGGGCGTCTAAGGACATTTTATGTTTTTGAATATTCCAGAAGAAACGCCAATACTGGTGCAACCCGAGGCAAGGCACGAAAAATTGTATATTTTGTGTACTGTGGCAATATGTCGTAGTCGATTTTTTTCAGGTAGCAGTTGTACAGTGTGTATTTTCTATGTCATTATTATGGAAAACCGAAGAAATTCTTTATATATAGGAGCTATAGGAGCTTTATGAAAACGTTTTGCGTCGACGCGTAAACGACTGTTTAACTGTCTGTTAAGCTATGACTTCAAAGTATAGTGTACTAAGCAAATTTCTAAACTTCCCGGCGAAGGACCAGAGTTGGTTTGCTGCGCTTCCCTTTGTTGCGCTTTTGCAAAATCAGCATATCTCCAGTAGATTCAATGTAAAAAGTATCCCCCCGACGACTTTCTCCAACAAGGCTCCGAGCATTCCGGTGTGCGTTGGGCCTTAAACGTTGGATGTAGTAGAATAAGGTTGTAACGTAGATATAGGCAAAGTCGATTGAGACTATTACGAAATTAAAAATTGAATTGCGTTCAACTTGCTGCATCATGCCGTGAAGTAAATGACAAACTCTTACAAATATCTGCATTTGATTGCTTACAACTCAATTTCCATAAACCATTTTTTATGGTTCACGACGAGTTGTCTGAATATATTAATTGTACTCGCGACGACCATGCGATCAATCAAACACATAATAAATGCCCAAATGTTCATTATTTTGTCTCATTATGCTTTGCACATACTATACATCTTTCAACTAATCGCAAGTACTAAAATGTTGAAGCTTCGTTTCTAAAGATAGAAAAAAGGAACCGAACGTCATAATAGGAGATGTAGATAGTGATAAATGCTAAAAATATATTGGACCACCGGCCCAATTCGGAAAGAAGTAATGCGAAATGATAACGAGTCCAGAACATACGCTGAATACATGTATTAAGAAAAAAATTGAAATAGAATACCACAACTTACTTGCCAAGACAAACCAGCTAGTCCAAAAGAGCAGTTTAGTGGCTAAAAATGATTCGAAAGTAGATCCCAAGGATTGAAGGCCCAACTGCTCTGACGTCATGAGTAGGCCGAGCCGGTACAATATCACAGAAATAGAGTATGCCGGCTCTCACTCATCCTTACAGCGAAATGGTCCTCTTGACGTTAGAGCAGTCGGGTCTAGACTTTCGGTGGTGCCGGTATGACCCACAATATTTAGGTTACCGGCATTCAAATGACAATTGTTGTAAGTTGTAACTTTAATCCAGAACTTGAAATGCTTATTAAGCAACTTGCATCTCGGCATTCATATAACACATATTTTTAAAAGTGGAGAACAAAAATAGCTAGTTGCTGAATGAGTAAAAATGCAATCTGATCAAATCGCTCAGTGTTCCAGGTCCAATTCGGAAGCTAATCAACTATGAAAGTCGTCAGCTGCCAAATGCCTCTCAAACCAAACTCGATACAAAAAAAATAGTCTGAAACGGTCTTCGATGTACGAAAATCTCGATTTACCTATGATGTATTAAAACAGGTTTCTGCATTGCCCCTAAAACCGCAACTTAAGTGGACAAGCTTGGTAACACATTATATATCAATATCATTGAATTAATTTTGATTATTAGCTTAATTTTACGTTTATGATAAAAGATAATGCAAACGCGTTTCTTAACCAAACAGGTGCAAACCTATAGTTTAACATGTGCAGGATTTTAGTTTTAACAAAAAACTCTTGTTTAATGCGAGCATTTCCTGTTTTTCGTTGCCATTTGAGACACTTTTTTCTTACGCATGTTTTGTTCTTTTTGCGTCAGAGGGCGGAAGCACGGATGCAGGAGTCCTACACGGAGCAGTACTCTCCTCGAGGCTTTGCAATATTTTTACCAGTRACATCCGAAGACCCGCCAATACGTCGCTGGCTTTCATTGTAGTCGATACAGCCYTGGTGTCATTCTCGTAGCACAGRGATCGGCGGAATCTGCAGCTTGCTGCTGATGAACTGCAGGAGCGGTGTATCAAGTGAAAAGAGAAGATTAACACAGCAAAGAGTCCGGCTATTCTTATTGGAAGGAAACGCGACCGAGTTGATGGAAACATCAACCTAGACGGAGACGCACTGGGGAAATGAAGTCAGGTAATTGGGTGTTGTTCAAGATACGCAGATGACCTGTAGGAAACACGTGACGACAGCCTGCTGTACCTACTTCTGAACCGAAGAAGTCACATGAGCATGCTGAATAATATATTCAAGAGATTATCAAGCAGGCACTCCTGTATGAATCCGTACTCCGCAGGGTGGGCATATTGCGGCAGAGAGTTACATGAAGCAACTTCAGGCTACAGAAAAAAACTTTTGCGTTTGGCCATAGATGCGCCCTGATTTGCGCAGAACAGGAAAATCTACAAGGACTTAGAGTAGGAGCCTAAGCGCGAGAGTCTATCCAAAGRAAAGCAACATGGACCTTCAAAAAGGCCGAAAACCGCCCCAMCSCGGAACTACGTAGAGCGGTAGACTGTAGGCAGCTGACGAGGATACCAGAAAGCAAACTCTCAGGCCTCAGATGGTCCAATAGGGCAACAGGTAGGTATAAGCGGAGAATGTAATATTATGGCATACGGATGCCGGAGCTGACCCATTCTTACAGAAGACTGCAAGTCTTAACGGCTCCTGAAAAATTGCAGTCAATAGATGGGGTTTTTAGTTGGTAGAACTTTAACACTTCCTGGTGTCTGCAATAAGATTTCTATCATCAACCTGCCGGGCAAACATCAAAAATATTGTTGCGTCAGCATAGTTGGCGTTAGCTCTTTACAAACGAGTCACAAACGAGCAATTTAGAACGTTTGACGAGTTCTCAAAAAACCATACGCTTTGATTACTAAATGGTAGGTACTTACTTTGTCACTTTATAGCTCTTTGAATTTTTCTTCTCTTTCTGATAGTTCTAACCGTTATATATAAGTACACATATTTTGTACTTATACAGATGCAGAATTAATTTATCGTTACGTCGCCCATGTCAACGGTTCTACTACAAAAGAAATGCTGACTTCGCGTCTTTCATAGGGGTTTCATTTATGGTTGTGTGGGCTGAGCAAACGTCATTCGTTCGGTATCGCTAACATTTGAATTGAAACAAAATGCCTGGTAGTAAAGTTTTAGGAAATATATTGTGGTTTAAACGTTTTCCTACACCCAAAAGTAATCGGGTAGAGTGAATTGTCCGTTATGGTATCCGTTTACACCTTTCTCAATAGACATAGGCTTAACAAACAAAAATCGTAAAAAGGGGGCAGAATGTTTGTTTGTCTTCGAAACAAGTCATGGAATAACTGACAATAACCAACTTAAACATAACCTATCATCCGTCAAAAAAATGACACCAATTCTCTTCAAATATAAAT